AAAAATAGAAGATCAAAATAAATTAATACTATTTTATTTTTTTAAATTGTGATTTGGATGAAAGTTTACAGAGAAAATTCACTTTCCATTCAACAGTTCATACACATTTTGTTTCATAACATTGATTGCAAGCCCCATAATGTAACAGATCTCTTCCCACTTTCTCCCTGTAGTTACCTTTTCCCTGTACCTTCTTTCCTATGCATTCCTGCCCTCCGAACTATCTCCCTGTATAAATTTCCCTTCTGATTTCCCATGGTTGATTGTCCTAAGGAGTGTACCTACCTGGTGTAATTGTTCACCTGGTAGGCCTGTCTATTGTTTGGCTAGAAGCCGTGAGAATGAGTTCAATTCCAGGCCCAAAGGGTGACTAGGGGCTATAATCTCAGGGTGTCAGCAGTCTCTATCAGCCCAGTAAGCCTGGTCGTTTTTACAATTTTGAGTTTTGTTCCATATTTTTCTCCCACTCTATCCAGGATAATACTGTTTTGAAAGAGACAAAACATGCATGCAATTTGTCTTCACCCCCTACCAAACCTCAATTAAGAACAATGACAACAAAAAAATAAATGGTTGCTGTCAAGTTGATTCCAATTCATAGTGACCTCACGTATGTCTCCGTAGGATTTTCAATGGAATATTTTTCAGAAGTAGATCTCCAGGACGTTTTTCCAAGGAGCCTCTGGATGGACTCACAACACCAACTTTTCAGTCAACAGCCGAGCCCTTAAATCTCAACTAAAGGGACTATAAGAAAAATAAAGGCAAACTCATAAAAAAGAAACAGAGAATCAATGTTGATTAAGTCCTAGAAGCTAGAAATAGATGGACACATGGTAGCTGACTTTAAAAACTATGTAGACTTGAAACTGAGACTTACAATGTGTGAAGCCAACAAAAATAATCCGCTGCTTGCCATAGAATTCCAGAAATACTCAATAGTTAAGAGTATTAGATACTTCTGAACATACGGCTGAGAATAAGACATTGATGAAAGTTTTTATAAAAAACTCTTAGGACCCTGGATTGCCTCTTCTACCATTTTATATATAATTATGGAGCTCTGGTAGTGTAGTGGATAAGGCATTTTGTTGCTAACCAGAAGGTCAGTGGTTTAAACTCACCAGCCCCTCTGCAGAAGGAAGATGGGGAATCTACTTCTGCAAAGATTTATCGCCTTGGAAACCCAATGGGAGTTGCTATGAGTTGAATCTACTTGATGGCAGTGAGTTTGGTTTGTTTGATCTCCCTAGCCTAACTCTCTAGATTAACTCAAATGTCTTCTACTGAAGGTCTAGCAGAAGGGAAGACATGCTTTTATAACTTATGGTTAAAAATCTATTTATTTCAGTTTTCATTGTCCAACACAAAACAACTTTCACCAAAAAAAAAATATGAGACATACAAAATGGCAAGAAACAAAGAACACACTGCTAAGAAACAAAGCAATTGACTGGACCAGACACAGATATGATAGACATGTTAGAATTACTTAGCAAGCTTTAAAAATAACTATATTATGCTAACAACTCTAATGGAAAATGTACACAACAAGTAAGATATATGGAATATTTCAGCAGAGATGGGAACTAAAAGAAAGAATAGATGGAATTTCAAAAAAATAAAAATACACAGTAACAAAAATGAGGAATGTCTTTAACACACTCACCAGTAGACTCAAGAAAGAATCAGTGAACTGGAAGACGGGTCAAAATAAATACAAATCAAAAAACAGAACAGAGCATCCAAGAGCTTTGAAACAATCTAAAACAGACCTAAGTGGACTCTCAGAAGGTGAGAATGGGCAAGAAAAAGTACTTGAAGAAATAATAACTAAAATGTTTTATGAAATATTAACAGACAAAAATGACAGATACAAGAAACTTAAAGAACAGCAAAAAGAATAAATATCAAGTACACACAGTATGTACTATTTTATATGTGTATATACATACACACATATTTAGTCATATTATATTTAATCTGTTGAAAGCAAAAGAGAAAATTTAAAGACAGAGAAAAGGACATATTACATACAGAAGAAAAATGATAACAATTACAGCAGACTTCTTGCTAGACAAGCAAGAAGAAATACAGTGAGTGACATTGTTTATCCCATTATTTCTGTAACGGTGTTTTCCGAACAGTTTTATTGAAGTATATCGGACATAAAATGTATATATTTGAAATGTACCATTTGATATGTTTGATATACGTATTGTTGTTGTTGTTATGTGCTGTTGAGTCCGGCAGGACTCATAGCGACCCCTTCTTGGGTTTCTGAG